CTTTTACGAGGGGCTTGATGACGGTGCGATACAATATATATTAAACAGCTCAAGTACGTATCATCAAAAACTGCAGAAAAAAAAAACACGAAAGTTTTGCAGTAGGGCCAAGAAAACCCCGATTACTTTTTCTTTTCTGTCAGTCACACTTATATTAGCTATTTTAATAAGTTGTACAACTCGGCTATCAAGCCGCTCGTGAAAGTTGGTGCCGTCGGTTTAACGTCACTATGCTGGACGCCCATGCGAAGTTTTGGGGTATATTATACGTGACGCGAAAGCGTAAAAATATATGTATTCTTTTTTTAGTGTGTACGGCATGGAGGTACAACTTTACCACCACCCTTTCGCACGTCAAACGTCTCTCGAGCCAATGAGAGGTGTAAGCACCTCGTAAGCACAGGGCGGGGCTTAGCAGGCTGCGACCTCAACGGTCTGCACCTAAGTTGCGTCTTGCGGCGTAAATATTGCTCGGAAGAAAAAGAAAAAATCAAATCTCGTAAAATGTATCTTTTTTTTTTCATACCTGCTTTTTTTAGAAGGGAAAAAAAGTTTAATTGTAGAGTCTCTTTAAGATGAAACAAAGTGAACGACTCATACTCCGTTTCACTCCAAGTTCGACTACCGCAGCCGAAGCTAAGATCCCATGAAACTATTCACGCGCAGCGTCAAAAGTGCAACGTCACGACGCTCGTTGTCTCCGTGGGGTTCACTATCACCGGCTAGACCAACCACGCAGAGGTAATTCGCCGCGATTCAGCACCTTTCGTGTGCCTGATTGGTCTATAGCCGCTGATAGTGAACCGCACGGAAACAACAAGCTCCGTGACGTTGCACTTCTGACGCGGTGCTTGATTGGCTTCGTCGAATCGTAGCATGGCCTGCGGTCGAACTAGGGGCGGATGCAGGAATTTTCTGAGGGGGGGGGTCAGGTGTTGGTCAGCCTACCATATGTTTAGTAACCCCCTCTCCCTCGTTTCATGCCCTAATTTTTACACATGCAGAAATCAAGATGGGGGTCAGGACATCCAGACCCCCACCCCCCCTCCGCTAAATCCGCCCCTGGGTCGGACTCACCGCGCGACGGAATATGCGGAACGCAACTTCGTCTGCTTCCCGCACAGCGGTTGCGGTGATGGCGGAACGCCGAGCTCTTATTGGCTTATTGAAACAAAATATTGGGTAGACCTCAAGGCCTTTACATTGAGGTCTACCCACCGCCCTTTCAATCAAATCAAATCAGAGCTCGGTTTCGTTCTGACGTCACCGGAAACCCTGTGCAAGAAGCAGACAACTTGGTCTCCGCGTAGCATGCATCACTCGGTACAAACCAACGTTATTAAACCACTCAGTCGGGAAACTACCATAGAGACTGCTTTGAAAAAGTGGCCCCGATTTGTCCTCCAGCACCGAGCTAATGAGGAACACAACGCCACCATTTCTCCCGCAGCGGCCATTCGTGGAACCGCACGTTACTCCTACTTTGGCTTTAAGCGGCAATTTTCGCGCCGACACGGATACAGTGGAAGAAGTCACAAGGGTGTCACCCCCTTCTCCACAGCGGACGCGCCGCGTGTTACTACCGAAGCAAAAATGCACCTAGGTCGGGACGCGCTACCTGAAAGCACCGCTGAGGCATGGTTGTATAAAAACAATATTAATTGTGCCGAAAAACCTTGCAAACTAAAAATTTTAAAAACATCACGCGCCCTTCACTTTGTACTAAACTCCAATAAATTCCATACAAAAGGAGTCTTTTCCGCTTGTTTTTACGCAAAAACAGGCTTTTTAAAAGCTCAAGGTGACCACAGTACAGACAAATGATAAAGAGTGGTACTGTTGTCGTATTTAGCTCGGTCTCGGTGGACGCCAGCGACCCAGCCTTTCGACGGCGAGTTTCCCAACTGAGTGTTTTAGTAACGTTGGTACAAACACACCGTTTTTTCGGATGTTGAGGAAAAAAAAAGCATTCATTAGCCCTATTATTTTTTTTTTTCGAGATTTGTGTTTACAAGGACGAATTTCCGCCAGGTGCCCAATGCAACGTGGCACTATCGAAAATTCAACGGTGTGTTTCTATTTTTGGGCAGTTTAGTTTGTTCAAGAGTCTACGCGGAACGCAAGTCGTCTGCGCAGGAGTGCTTCCTGCGCAGGAGTTGCAGTGACGTAAGAACGACGCCGAGCTTTGAGTGGCTTTGATTGGAAGGACGCTGGGTAGTCCTCAATGCTAGATGCATTGAGGTCTACACTTTTGTTTTTCAATCGGCCAATAACAGTTTGGCGTTCACACATCACCTCAACAAATGTGCAAGAAACAGACGAACTTACGCTCCACGTGGGTGGTTTCATTTGAAATCAAACACGCTTGTCGGGGTGGGTCCTTCCATTTTTAAAAAAAAAAAGATATGTAATTGCCACATTTCTGGAAAGAACAAAACCGCTTTCGAAAATTTTTAGAAAAAAATATTTCGCTTCACAAAAAATTATTGAGTGGAGCAGGGTGAAAATCTGTTTTTCACTCCGTGATTTTTCTACCCAGTTCTGTACGCTGGTATGAATACGGGAAGCACACAAAACTCACAGTAATTTTTTGTGCTCTTGTATGTTATTTGGACTATTTTTAGTTCAAAGGAAAATACTTTTGTAGTTTTGTTCATTGAGGTAAAAAATGCCAAACATCGTCTCTTTGACAATCCGGTGACATCTTCGGAGCTTTGTAACTCATGAGTTATTATATTTGTCACTTATTAAATACTATGCGGGTGTAAAATAAATAAAATAAAATAAACTCATCCCCGTCGATATTCCATGTGTAGGGCTACACCCCCATGGTATTTGGTAAGCTACAAATATAATAACTCATGAGTTACAAGGCTCTGAAGTTGTCACCGCATTGTCTCGTGGGAGCATTTCGATCACTTCTAGAGAAGATACAACAAAAAAAGGGGGAAATAGCATCAAGCCAATTGAAAGTTCATATGATCGTCAGCAATAATAAAAAATTTGAACGAAATAAAAAAGGGCCCTTTTTGATAAAGTGAGTTCAATATATCGGTTAATTTCATTTTCGACGATATTTCAAATTTTATATAAAAAATTCTGTGAAAATAAAATAAACAACACTTATGCCCGTCGATAGCCCATCTACAGGGCTACACCCGCATAGTACTTAGTAAGTGACAAATATAATAACTCTGAGGTACAAGGCTCTGAAGATGTCACCGGATCGTCAAAGAGACGATGTTTGGCATTTTTTACCTCAATAAACAAAACTACACAAGTATTTTCCTTTAAACTAAAAAATAGTCCAAATAACATACAAGAACACAAAAAATTACTTTGAGTTTTGTATGCTTCCCGTATTCATACCAGCGTACAGAAGTGGGTAGAAAAATCACGGAGTAAAAAACAGATTTTCACCCTGCTCCACTCAATAACTTTTTGAAAAGCGAAATATTTTTTTAAAAAATTTTGGAAAGCAGTTTTGTTCTTTCCAGAAATGGGGCAATTACATATATTTAAAAAAAAAATCAATAAAAGACCCACCCTGACAAGCGTGCTCGATTTCAAATGAAACCACCCACGTACATATATACATACCACCTTTTTCTTCCTTTCTTTTTTGTCACGTGATGGCCGTGGCGCTGACTCCAATAGGGGCATGCGCACAACCTTCACTCTTCTAGTAGAAACGTGTTTCTGAATGCGCGGTGCACACATCTGGCTCATATGCCGAAAATTGCAGCTCTTTGACCCGGATATTTTATTTATATATATACTGCTCGCAAAGCCTGAATATATTTTTCTAGCCATTGCTGCATATGTGAATGATCGTACCTATTGTCTTATTTTCAGGACAAATCATTGCACCGATCGAATCGGCATCCGGCATTAACCAGACGGCTTGTCCATGGGTAGATGGATGAATGCATGAGTGCTATTCTCTTCGGGTCAGGTGGCAGCTTGCGCCACCTAGCCGAATAGTATCCTTAGCGCTGCATTAAATGTGGCTTAATGCAGTTTCATCACTGTTACAACCTATTACTTCTTTGATTTTAAAAACCATTCCTTGAGTATTTTAAATTTCTCTCCTTGTTAAAAAGCTTTTGTGTTACTTTCCCTACTGAATCCCTAGGACCTGATAAAGCCAGCCTCTTCACGTGATCTCCCTGGATTGCCCAGCGCCTTACATTATATTATTGACGTGTACTGGCGATTCAATAACCTTCCCACACATAATTCACGTTGCGTCCATCGTCAGGTATTTGACCCTGCATGTCTCAGTTCTCAAAGCCCCTTTCTTGCCTTCGATAACAACGCACTTTCCCGTTCTTTACGTGCCAGCACCTTGTCCCGTCAACTTTTGTACTCTTTGAGGTGGTAACGACGTTGCCGCTTCGTGGCGCCACCACTGTGACTATGATTTACTTCTGCAGGGGGCCGCGCCGTTGTTCGCTAGCAGAGTCATCTCTGGCTTTCCTTTACAGATTAACTTGAAGTATGGGCCAAAATGTCGCAGCAATGCGCGACCCATATACTGAAACTTTTGGTACATAAGACCTAAAGTTTATAGACCATTCCAGTAATCACCTTCAGTGCGCTGCCATCTTCGTTTAGTGGGCTGTTGAACACGTTCTGGGCATGCCCAGAAGAGCTCTTATGCGGAAAAGCAGACCGCGCACGCGTCCGCAGCCCAGTGACCCATCATTTATTCTCTTGATGACAAGCGGTGTAAAGGTGCATACGAAGGGACGACGAATCTGTTCTGCATCTGTGGCTTCTTTTGCAGCACCCATCTGGAGCACTGCTATCTCTGGTCTTCATATTGACCAGATGCATTGAATATAAACACGTGAGAAACAACGTATTCCTCTTTATTTCTGACAAAAAGGAAGGCAGTCCGGTTCTTCAAGACAACGCCGTTGGAATTGTATCTTCGCTGTACACTGGAGGAAGTGAACGTCATTACTCCTCGGTTATGGCACTAAAGTCCGCAATACTCATTTCTTCCTAAGCGCATACTTGTAACCCCCCACTCCATAGTTGAGTCCTCCGAGGGCGTATCCGCCTCCAAGTCCGTATCCAACACCGCCGTATCCGAGTCCGTAGCTGAGTCCGTCACCGTAGCCAAGGCCGCCGTAGCCACCAAGTCCGCCGCCGAATCCGCCGCCGAATCCGCCGCCGTATCCGCCGAATCCGCCGAGGCCCACTCCCACAGCAGCGACGGCCGGCTGCGCCACAGTCACAGTCCTAGCAACGGCCACGGCAGGACGAGCAACGGCGACCACGGGCTGGGCTACTGCGACCGGCTGGGCCACTGCGACCGGCTGGGCCACCGTGACGAACCTCTGGGCCACCGCGACAGGACGTGCGTAGTGAACAACTGGGCGTGGTGCTACGTGAACGACTGGACGGGCCACATGGACCACCGGTTGGGCCACCGCCACTGGGCGAGCGACGTGGACGACAGGGCGTGCCACGTGGACGACCGGACGTGCCACATGGACGACCTGGTGGGCCACCGCAACTGGACGAGCTACTGCAACTGGGGCAGCCACAGCCACGGGAGCAGCCGCGAAGCCGACTCCGCCCAGGCCGTAACCGAGCCCACCTCCGTAGCCGAGCCCGCCTCCAAAGCCGAGTCCGCCTCCGTAGCCCAGTCCACCTCCGTAGCCGAGCCCAACGCCGTAGCCTACTCCACCGCCATAGCCGAGTCCACCGTAGCCGAGTCCACTGTATCCAAGTCCACCGTATCCCAGTCCTCCGTAGCCGAGTCCATGGCCTACAGCCACTCCGTGGCCGACGGCTAGACCGCCATAGCCGAGGTTGCCCGCTAGGGAACCGGCTACGAGGCCGAGGAAAATGGCGAAGTTCTGCCGGTGAAAGAAAAGGGGACAATGTTTGTGAGCTAACCTGCCACAAATGTTTTTTTTTTATGATTTTCGTCTTAGCACCAACTTATAGTGCTTGGGCCGTATCAAATCTCAACGAATTACAAGAAGCGGCTAGTTTCTACGTTATTTCTGCATTCCCCCCGTTACGAAAAACACTGTATAGCGTAACGATACAAATAAAATCTGGTTTTCTAACATGTTAGTTCCCCCCCATCTCGGTACTCTAATATTCTCCATTAACTTTGGCGGAGACGGCGCTGGTTCTTTTAGCCACTATGGTTCGTCGATAGTAGGCTTCTAAGTACAATCTGATATTTCCATCTTTGTTTCTTTACCCACATTTGCTTTCTGCGAGCGGGTTTCCTCCCCTTACGAGCAAAAGAGCATCTAGAGGCTGAACGAAATATGATCAGTAGAAGTGCAAACTATCCAATTGCGTCGCGTTCATTGATAGTCCGAGAGCAATCCCTTCCTGTGAACTGTTGTAACAGCGCAACATTTGTATTATCTCTAAGCTATTGGCCCATTAAAACGTATTTTATATGCCACGCGTACATCTCTCACACCCTACATCTCGCACAAATCCCGAGCTTCAGAGTCCCGTTATCACAATTAATCTATCTTAATGCTTCGTCCAGAGATTTATCCACGCGTTCATTAAAATTCTTCTTCAGGCTGGACTCTCAACACTGCGCCACGTTCACGGCAAAAAGCCGAATACTGCAGGTTCACGGGACAAAAAGTACTTGCTCACCAAGCCCTGCATGGCTGAGTTCTACTCTGTAACCACCTGCGAAGCTAGAAGACACTGACTGCGGGAGTTCTCCCTCTCGGTCTCCCTTTTATACAGTACGATAAAAGGGCGTGTGATCTTCTTTCCGCATTTGCGGAAAAACAAACAACATATATCGTTTGACCCCCTCCGGCACCTTGGTGTGTTCTTCCGCCAGAGAAGACCAGGACAGCTGATAAACAAAAGGAGGCGTCGAAGTCGTCCACTCACGCAGAATGCGCGAGCCGTCCTGCAGACAGAGCGGCCGAAGGGTTTCGGGTCAGCGGGTGGGTGCGTGAACGTGATCGGCTTCTCTCTCGGACGCCTACTGCCAGGGGCGACGCTTGGCACCGGGACCCTTTCGGAGATCGCCGATGGCAGGAGAAGATTGGAGCTTGGTCTTCCCGCGCTAATGCTAAACGATTTTGTGCGATGACATTCCTCTGCTTTTTAATGGTGCCCGACCCGCCGCGATATTTGCCCGGGACGCGTGCCGTTTTCTCGTGCAATTCTTCTCTGATTGGTGGATCTCGGTTCCCGTCGGGGTTTGAAAGTGGTGCGTAAGGCGTATCTCGTTCCCATTACAGCTTTTTGGTGAAAGTTTTGCGTGTTTGGTGTGAATTCTGTACGGTCGGAGGATTCGGTGGGACTGCGTCCATTAATCAAAAGAGGAGGAACGCTGGAATGTTGCAAACACAAAGGAGAGCCTCGGGGTTTGGCTGTAGCTGGCAACAGAAAAATGAAGGAATGTGATGGGACAACCACTCTCGCTACACGTGATTCCGTAAGAAACAGAATATCTTTGGTACAGTATGTGGACATGGTGGGTTTAGTGGCAGTTTCACGCAGTAACTTACGATTGGCTGCGAGTAATGGGCACGTCCAGAAAAGCCGTTTTGAAACATTGCAGACGATACGTAGTTGAGAAGAAAACTGTCTGAGGATGATTCCACGTTAGTTATAGAATGATGGTTCGGGTCATAATTTTGATATTTTTGTTAAAAATGTATATGAAAGCCATGTTCTTGGGAGGAACATTCAGCTATATATTAATGCCGTAACAATCTTTTCGCTGATATATAAAATAGTGAAGCTCGAGGCGTGAAAATTGAGAACAATTCATGATGATACTTTGCACAGTCGGCATTTTCCCATCGAAGCTTTCACGTCACCATAACTTTTTATTACAATTTACAAAAGGTTCACGACACATACACATAAAATATAAAATGGTAAGAAAATATTTCTATGGAGACAAAACAAAATATCAAACATGTCCTGAACCCGTTTTAGAGACATATTCACAATTTATTGCAAAAAACTATCTTTTATAATACTACACAAGACATATCGAAATGCGCATCTTTAAATTATCTTTACGATAAAGTAATATACCCACCCTTCCCTTAATTGTCTCCAATTGTTTTAAGGTAGAAATGCGGCTGATTTTTGAAAAAGTGTTAAGATTGGTTGTCGATATATCAAAAGCTTTGAGCATTGCTTTATCGTTCTGTGACCATACCCCTCCCCCCACCCCCCTCCACTTCCTTCTTTTTTCTCACCCCTTAATCACGAACAAGAAACGTCTGCGAACGTCACTGCTGGCGGAGTTACGAATCGTAAGCACGTCACATTACCCTGAAACTCAAAGCTAAATACGAGAAGAGCCAGTTACGAGAAAATAAGCGAGATTAGTAGTAAGAAAGGAAACTATGCATGTCAGTTGGTTACGAAATCATCCAATCTAAGCCCTGAGACAAGAAAAAACAAAAATAACGCACAGTGCGAAACGAAGTCGCAAACGCAGCTGAACTTATTCACAAGAAGGACGACAATAAGTGCATGTCCACACGGAAAGAAAAGAGGAAGAGAACGACATGCAACCGTAAAGACTTGACCGAACCTGGTCAGACCAACAAAATCCCTCCAAGGTTAAGGACAGGAATGGGAGCGGGCACCACTCCCAAGGACCTAAACAGATGAGTTTCACTACGCTATGTGAACCGACCGAGATATGACCCCTAATTCCCCCTCTCCTATTTTACTGCCGTAACCCCCTTCCCCAACACGCACACACACACAACCTACACTCCAACACCGAAAACGCCAAGTACATTACAATAAAGGAAACTTTCGCAGGGTGATTCAAAACAAAAGACGGCTGACTATCGCTATGCTTAAAGGAGACTCGGCGTTTTTGGTGCTCAATAAGTGGAACTACAAACAAACAATACAAGCTTAACCGTGCGCGACGCACCGATTATACCTACAAATGAAAACAGAAGTTGATAACTATGAAGACATATTCTTTCGGAGCTCTGATCGGAAATTCGGAGCCGGGAGAAAGGAATTCAGAACCTCTCAAATAGGTGTTCTAGAGGACGTTTCGGGTTCTGTCATTTACGAAGCGAGTAAGAGTTTAGTGTCAGACCCAACAGCCATGGCCAAACGATTAAGCACCGTGCGATTGTTCTTGGTGGACTATCTGTGGAGACCCAATAATAAAGTGTATAGCGATAAGCACCTCGTACCAGTAGGGAGACTCAACAAAGTGCGGTTCAAAAAGCAACTGGCTCCACGGAGAGTGAGTGAATCTGACCTTTTATGACAACACCGCTACAAATACCTCCAGAATGAGATTGCTTCTTCTTACAACGTGGATACATCAAACTCTTCTTTCCGGGACTCTGATGAAATTCTGGTTGAAGTGAGTCAAGACTTGTGTCCTGCTAGTTCGTCGGTAACTCCATCGAAACCACATAAAACCATTTAAAAAAAAAAGCGCAAAACGTAATTGAAAAGGAAAAAAAAAAAAAGCTTAAGTGAGTTCTTCAATTAGAAGAAAGCTGTCAAGCGTTTATGGCGTGAAATCCGGCAAAGATAGTTGTGAGCACTGCGCGGAGTGGTTTTACGCTTTCCGCGATTCGCTGAAAGCATGCTGTTCCCACCAGGAACTCAAGCGATTGTACACGCTTCTGCCACCAAGCATCTCGAAGAAATATTGCGCCTGTTGCCAGAAGCGACTGCCTACATGATTTTTCAAACAAGAAAACTTAAGCGTAAAGGTGGTGTATGGGACACCCCTCATCCCTACATGGGAAAAAAGGCGAATGCCGAAGACGTGAGGGTTGCGCCTGAGTAGAACACACGCGACGCCTTTGGTTGCTCTGTTCAAAGCCTCAACAAAAAAGACGTCGTTAAAGCCATGATCAATGTCAACAAGATCAAGGTCGTAAAAAGGTTTAGGACCCGCTTTATTAAGGAAGCTTACCAGCTGTTCAGGAAGGAACATCCCCATAGGGAACTATAGGCATCTCCAAATTTTGTTTCCTACGAACAAAATGGGTAAACAAGAGTCCCGAGCATGAGGTGTGCGCATGCATATATTGCGTCAATTTTCAGTTGCTTTTAACGGCCATAACAAATGACTCGAAGAAGACATTCACTGAATACGACCTCAAGCGCATCTACCTATGCAGCGCTCCACAGAACGATTGCTTCCTGCGCCGTTGCGAAAAGTGCCCAAAAATACAGACCATTTCGCTGCAGTCGCACGCACCATCTCGACGAAGACGAAGAGATCTGTTTCGCTTTAATGGATCTCGGCGAAATCGTCAAAAAGATTATGGACACTTCCGCTCCCTGCGGCAGCTGGAGTCATGGAGCTAAAAGTGTAGGAGGCCTTCTTACATCCGTGATCTTCAACGAAGCCTGATAAGTGACTCGAGAACCGCCTTACCACCCAAGGCAGTGATGTTCCACTTCGATTTTGCGGAAAATTAAAAAGTACTCTTTCCAACTGAAGTCCAGAGTTTTCTCTGGAAAAAAAACTGAAGTGTATCTCTTCACAAGTGTAGTTACGTCCACACAAGGTATGCAAAGCGTTGCCATTGTCAGCGATGACACGACATATGACACAGCTCGCGCTCTTCTATCCACAGAGGCCATAAAAGAGTATGTTGATGAACATTACCCAGACTTTTTGGAACTACTTTCTGTATCAGACGGAGCGGAGAGGTGGCGCACTTCAAGAGTCGCCTCCAATTGCACTAATTGTCTTGGAAGCCGTGCTCGTCGGCAAGGTGGATCTTTACGGCCACTGGACACAAAAAGAGTGCTTGTGATGGAGTAGGTGGTGTTCTTAAACACCACGCAACGCTAGCTAACTTGAGATCTTCGCTCAACTCAACAAATGTCAACGCTGAAGACTTTGTGGAAGTGGTGCGTGAAAAAGTGACAAATCTCTGCATGTTTCACATGAGTGCTGAACGCGTTCGCGAGTTTTGTGCGGTGAAACAAGAAGAGTGGACAACCGTAAAACGTGTGAGAGGAATCTAGGCATCTCATCTGTGGAAGTCATCATATGTTGAGAGGCCGGATGTAGAGATGGCCACTTGCGCGACTGAGACATTTAAGCTTATGTACGTAAAGTTAGTGAATTTGCAGAGTGATCCTTTTTGTTTTTGTGAATTGGAAGCTAAGTAATGGTATTCCAGCTCGAAGTCCCTTTTTCCCGTCAGTTATACTCACCCATTTAAAGAAAAGAATTTGAAAAATATAAAATGCCTGCCATAACTACCACTGAAAATGTTTGGTTGCGTGCGATCAAGCCGGCTATGACGAAGACATCGGCTCACTCCGAGTGAAGGTTTGTCGTAGCTTTTCAGGTTTTGAGGTCATATCTCACTCAATGCTTTGCCATCGCAAGTTAGTTCAAGTCCTCGCAAAGCGCCAAGAGAAGTTTAAAAAAATAAATGATTGCGTTTGTGTTTTTTTTTTTTTTTTAAATATCGTCACCCAATCTTGCCACATTTTGAGACATCAGCTTCATTTCCGCATTAATGACAAGAAGACAATTAAGGATGGGGCGGCCAGGCTATTTTTATATCCTCGTAAAGATAATTTAAAGACGCGCATTTTGATATGTTTTTGTGAATTATTATAAAAGATAGTTTATTTGCAAACAATTTGTGAATATGTCTCTTAAACACGTT